CCCCGCCCTACGTCGCGGCCCCGCCCTGCGTCGCGGCCCCGCCCCTCGAAGCGGCCCCGCCCTACGTCGCGGCCCCGCCCCTCGTCGCGGCCCCGCCCCGACCGTCGCGGTCCCGCCCCTTGTCGCGGCTCCGCCCTCCAACCAGGCCCGTGGTGGGCCCCTTTCACCACACCGCCCCCCCCCCCCCCCCCCCCCCCCCCCCCCCCCCCCCTTCCCCCTGCCATTTCCCGTCGCCCGTCGCGGCTCCTTCGGGGGCCGCTGTGGGGTGGCGGGTATGGGGGTGGCCGGTGTGCCTTCCTCCCTTTCTCCTCCTCCTCCTTCGTCTCCCACTGCTGCAGCTGTCGCTGAGGGGGGTGGTTGTGTGGGAGACTGGGGTTTAGGGTTTAAGGGGGGGTGCGTGGGAGTAGAGCTAGCGGTGTAGCAGTGGGTGTGTATCAGGGGGGTGGGACTGTTTGCGGGAGGTTGAGCGGAGGCTGCCGGCTTGTCGTCCGCAGCACCTGTAGTCCGGGGCGCTGTCCCGGTAGCCCAGTCGTAGCCAGCTGTGCCAGCCGCCCGTGGGTCCGTTGCCCGTCTGCCGCTATTTGAGCCGCGGGGCCTGTTACTCCTGTAGTCCGGGCGCTGTCCGGTAGCCGCTGTGCCAGTGTGCCTCCTGTTGCCCGTGTGTCTGCAGCTTCAGCCGTCGCCTCCTGTCTCCTCTCCCCTCACTCTCCCTCCTCCTCCTCACTTGCCCGTTGTGACTACCACTAGCTTTGCTTATAATTGTGAACTCTAAACTATTTCTTCTTGAACTTGTGCTCAGAATGTGTGGTGACATTGTGATCCACCCTGAGCTTGTTTTGCTTTGTCTGCTCTGCTGATTACACCCCACTTTGGCTATGGGGGTGTGTCAGAATATTATTCTTATGTTCTAGCCTGTAGTGGGGTGCTCTATAGCGAGTACAACCCTTCTAGGGTTTGCTATTTGTATCCCCATTTCTGCTAGTTCATTCCTCTTTCTTTCTTCTAATTTTGTCATAAACGGCGCGGCAGCTGCATTCGCTGCGACGGCATGTACAGTGGCGTGCTCGGTCGGTCCCCGAGGACGATGTCCGTAATAGGACCCCGGTCTCGGTCGGCGTAGGATATCGATTTTCTCGGCGAGCGCGAGGATCTCGTTGAAATTCGAGAGCCCGCGTAGCATTATCTCGTGCGAGATGTCCGGCTTCAGCCCTCCGACGTAACGGTCCACCCGCTCTGCCTCGTGCATGTAGCCGACCTGTTCGCAAAGTGCGAGAAACCCGCTGGTGTAGTCTTGAACTGACCCGAGCTGGCGCCAAGTGCGCAGTTTCTGACGCGCCGAAATCGAGGCCGCGATCGGCTCAAAGCGCGCCCGAAGTCCTGCGCACCACGCATCCCACGTGCTGTATTGGGCGGTTTCGCAGAACGAACTCCAGGTAACAGCTGGACCCGAGGGCCCTTCCTTGTGCGACGGTGGCTCGTAGGCGCGCGGCGACGTCACAATGACTTGCCACCAGTCCATGGCGGGGCCCCTGAGTAGTGAAACCGCATACCGGATCTTGGCGGCGTCCGACTCGACGTAGTTGGCGTCGAAAAACACATTCATCGTGAAGACCCACGATTGAACTGTCGGGCCGCCGCGTTGGCTTGGGTCGAAGCAGGGCGGGCGTTGCGGCTTGAGTGGCATTGGGGCCATCATGGCGTTCTCGCCACTTGTCGCCGCAAACTCCACGTGCCGACGGGCTTCTCGGGGCTCCCGTGGGCTTAATGCGCTCCTGTTCCCTCCCATGCCGGGCATCAGTTGGGCTGCGCCGTCACTGGCTGCGCCTGAGCGCTGTCCCGTGCTGTTGTGTTGCGTTGGTGTGCCGGATGAGATGACGATGGGCTCCTCCAAATGTGCAGATGCATTGGTTTGTGCGTGTGATGTCGTCGGTACGTTCACCGTTGACTGTTGACGGGCGGAGTCACGTTCCGCCGTGAGAGTCGCGATTTCGAGCGCCGAATCCTCCAATTGACGCACGAGACGATCGAGTTGCTCCTGCGTCAACGTGGCGAGATTGAAATCGGCCATGGCGGGGGTGTCGGGCAAGCTCAGCGAGAGCCTCGGTCGTGGCCGTGCGTGCTTTCGAGAGAGCACTACGAGCGGCGGTGCTGTGTCGCTGAGAGACGTCTACCCCCCCCCAAAAATTGAGATAGTGGGAAGCGAAGGTGTGGATGCGGTATGAGATGAGATCGTAGGCTCTGAATACCAAGTCTTACGAGTGCAATTGAGTGAACGAACGAGAATTGCACTATCGAGGCAAGAATACAAATGAGCGAAGGCATGAGCGAACATTATATAGCGAAACTATAGTGGTAACGGTAATGGTTGCGCGACGAGCCTGGGACTGAGGTTGGGAAAGTGTCGAAGCGTAGGCCCGGAGCGCGGGTTACCAGCCGAGCCGTGAGGTCGGGATGCGATGTGCGAAAAGGGCGGGATGATGAATGATGCGATGGTCGCGAGTGGTAACGGTGCTGACTGAGGTGCTACAGTGATGTACGCGTTGAGCAGGGACGCGAAGTAAGGAAAAGGGAATTTCCTTACAACCCCCCAAAATAATAGACCCCCGGGTCGTTAAATGGTAGGGGGTCTAATGCTATATGCACTTTCGAAATAAACCCCCCTCTGGGAAATGTATCCCATGTTAGACCCCCCTAACCAATTTCAGGTCAAACCGTAGCGAGGAACTGGTCAAGTTGATTGGAGCATATTGACCATGCGTCAGTCGCGCGTCAGACCCGCGTCAGACGCATGGTTAACATTTCGCTGATTCAATATGAAGGTGATGGCTTTTGATGCTGTAACACTAGGGTGTTTGACTTGACTATGAAAAACATGCATCTAGGATTAGACCCGGGGTCTAATCCATTTACACCCAGCTAATGGCCCCACCCCCCCTTTTTTTCCGGGGTAGGATTAGACCCCCGGGTCTATTACCCAGGTAAATACTGTACTCCGTGCAAAGTCAATCGTCCTCGCTTTAAAGCCAACAGCTAAAATAGTGACCCCCTCCCTTCTAGTTGGGTCCACTTGAAAACAGAAGTTTTTTTGGGACGTCTCGGAAAGTTGGAAGTGCTGTACGTTTTTATTATTTCACTCCAGACAAGTCTCGATATGAACGGGGAACATTTGGAACCTGTTTACATTTCTGATTGGCGGCGAAACTCACACACAACTCACACATATACATGTGCGAATTTGGCGCAAGGTTGCAAGGCCTGTACTTATTCGAGCAGTCATCGTAACTTCAACAAAACTCACAACAATCAACAGCACAGGCACAACTCAGCAAACACATATGCACGATTTGGGAGTGAATGTTGGCCGACGAATGGAAGAGCTGCGAGAAAAAGGGTTCCTTGGGCTTGAGGTTGAGAGAGGTAAAAAAATAGGGAGAGAGAGAGGGGAACAACGGGATGGGAGTGTCAGAATGTTCTTATCTAGCCTGTAGTGGGGTGCTCTGTAGCTAGTACAACCCTGTTAGGGTTTGCTATTTGTATCCCCATTCTTGCTAGTCAAGCCCTCTTTCTTTCTTCTAATTTTGTCATGCTATCAGAGCAGGTCGATCCCCTTGGATCGATCCTGTGGGTGGGTTACCACCACCTCGTTGCTTCCGCTGCAACCTCCACTCCTACTCTCTGTGCCGCACGCCCCGTGGCGTGCGGCAGTTTTTCTTCCCGCCGTGCGCCCCGAGGCGCGCGGCGGTTTTCTGCCCGCCGTGCGCCCCGAGGCGCGCGGCGGTTCTCTGCCCGCTATGCGCCCCGAGGCGCGCGGCGGGCTTCTGCCTCGTCGCTCGGCGCGTCGCCCTCGGGAGGCGCTGCGACGGGCGACGGGGACCCGCGCGCCGGCCCGTCGACGCCCGTGCGCCGCTGCCCCGGCTCGTCGACGCCCGTGCGCCGCTGCCCCGGCCCGTCGCCGCCCGTGCACCGCCAGCCCCGGCCTGTCGACGCCCGTGCGCCGCTGCCCCGGCTCGTCGACGCCCGTGCGCCGCTGCCCCGCCTCGACAGGCGACGGGAGGACTTACCTGGGGGAGGGGGGCGAGCGCCGCCCCCCCCCCCCCCCTTCTGCTGCCTGTCTTGGCGCCCTGGGCGGCCGCGCGTCGGTCCCCCCCCCCCCCCCCCCCCCTCCCCCTCCCCCGTAACCTCCCTACCCGCCATCCCGCCCTGCCTGAGTTAGGGTTTGGGGAGTGGCGAGTAGGGGATGGCGAGTATGGGGGTGGCGGGTGTGTGGTCTCCCCTGCTCCTCCTCCTCCTCTGTCTCCCACTGCTGCAGCTGCCGCTGAGGGGGGTGGGTGTGTGGGAGTCGCTGGAGTCGTGCTAGGGGGTGGGGTGTCAGTGACCCTAGGGGTGCAGTAGGGGGTGTGTGCAAGGGGGGGTGAGACTGTTTGGGGAGCTGAATGAAGGATGCCGCTGTGTCGCTAGCAGCACCTGTAGTCCGGGGGCTTCGTCCGGTAGCTCACTCGTAGCCAGCTGTGCCAGCCGCCCGTGGGTCCGTTGCTCGTCTGCCGCTACTTTAGCCGCGGGGCCAGTTACCCCTGTAGTCCGGGGGCTTCGTCCGGTAGCCGCTGTGCCAGTCTGCCTCCTGTTGCCCGTGTGTCTGCAGCTTCATCCATCGCCTCCTATCTCCTTTCCTCTCACTCTCGCCTCCTCCTCCTCACTTGCCCTCTGCGATAGCCTCTAGCTTTGCTCATAATTTTTTAACTTTAAACTATTGCTTCTTGAACTTGTGCTCAGAATGTGTGGTGACATTGTGATCCACCCTGAGCTTGTACTGCTTTGCTTGCTCTGCTGATTACACCCCACTTTGGCTATGGGGGTGTGTCAGAATGTTCTTATCTAGCCTGTAGTGGGGTGCTCTATAGCGAGTACAACCCTGTTAGGGTTTGCTATTTGTATCCCCATTCTTGCTAGTCAAGCCCCCTTTCTTTCTTCTAATTTTGTCAAGGAGGGGAGACCGTGAAGAACTACGGAAGGGAGGGAGAGAGGAGGCGACCGACGGGATGGGAGGGGAAGGAAGCGAACGACGGGATGGGAGAGGAGAGGAGGCGAACGACGGGATGGGAGGGGGGAGGAGGCGAACGACGGGATGGGAGGGGAAAGGAAGCGAACGACGGGATGGGAGGGGAAAGGAAGCGAACGACGGGATGGGAGGGGAAAGGAGGCGAACGACGGGATGGGAGGGGAGAGGAGGCGAACGACGGGATGGGAGGGGAAAGGAAGCAAACGACGGGATGGGAGGGGAAAGGAAGCGAACGACGGGATGGGAGGGGAAAAGAAGCGAACGACGGGATGGGAGGGGAGGACGTGAGCGATAGGAGATGAAGTGGACGGGATGGGAGGGGAGATTGCGCGAAGGCAATGGGAGAGAGAGCGCGAAGGCGATGGGAGAGAGAGCGCGAAGGCGACGGGAGAGAGAGCGAAAAGGCGACGGGAGAGAGAGCGCGGAGGCGACGGGAGAGAGAGCGCGGAGGCGACGGGAGAGAGAGTGCGTTAGGCGACGGGAGAGAGAGCGCGAAGGCGACAGGAGACTGATAGGCGATGCGCAAGAGAGGAAGGCGACCGGGAAACGCAACGCGATGATTGCGCGAGGCTTGGAAACACAATGCGCTAATACAAGATGTATTACGCAGAAGCGCGAAGTTCATGACTACGCGCCTAGTCGGAAATTGTCGAGGTCCTAAGCTACTCAATGTTAGGCAGAAAGCTGGAATGATTAGTTCTCACTCTGCTATGTGAATAAACTAGTGACTAGAGGAAGTGGGTGATGAACCCAGGACCAGCTTGAAATTGGAGTTGGGCCTGGCGACGGAAAAGCATCGCTAGGGAACGGTCGTGCGGATGCAGCACGCACGTATGCGACAGCTGATATGAACCTCGAAAATCATTTTGGCGGGAGCCAATTTTTTCAGATTGGTGTGAGCCAATCAGATTACTTCATGTCAGAACGTTATATAGCTTATGCTGTTGTGTAGGCTATAGTGGGGTATCCCATAGGGGGTACAACCCAATTAGGGTTTCCTATATGTACTCACTTCATTCATAGTCCATTCATTCTCGTTCTATTCTTCTCATGGTATCGAGCAGGTTCCCCTGTGGGAACTGCGCCTAGGGCCCACCACTCGATTTTTTTTTCCTGCCCGAAGCGCACTCATCCCGAGTCGCGCCTCGGGCCATTCTCTTACCGAGCCGCCCTAGCGGCCGACCCTACGATCGCGGCCCCGCCGCCCCTTAATCGCGGCCCCGTCGCCCTTACCTCGCGGCCCCGCCGCCCTTACATCGCGGCCCCGCCGCCCCTGCTCTCGCGGCCCCGCCGCCCTTTGATCGCGGCCCCGCCGCCCCTGCTCTCGCGGCCCCGCCGCCCTTACCTCGCGGCCCCATCGCCCTGCTGTCGCGGCCCCGCCGCCCTTACGTCGCGGCCCCGCCGCCCTTACATCGCGGCCCCGCCGCCCCTGCTCTCGCGGCCCCGCCGCCCTTACGTCGCGGCCCCGCCGCCCTTACATCGCGGCCCCGCCGCCCTTTGATAGCGGCCCCGTCGCCCTGCGGTCGCGGCCCCGCCGCCCTTACATCGCGGCCCCGTTGCTCTGCTCTTGCGGCCCCGCCGCCCTCCTATCGCGGCCTCGCCGCCCTGAGCTGTGCGGCCTCGCCGCCCTCTCCTACGCGGCCCCGCCGCCCTCACCAACGCGGCCCCGCCGCCTTCACCTGAGCGGCCCCGCCGCCTTCACCTACGCGGCCCCGCCACCTTCACCTACGCGGCCTCGCCGCCCTCAGCTACGCGGCCCCGCCGCCCACGCAGCCGACCGCCACGCCGCCCGGTACCGGAGCAGCCGAGTCGCCCAGCAGCAGCCGCCGCACCGCCGGACCACCGAGCCGCAGTGCAGCCGAGCCGCCCCGCACCCGAGCCGCCCGGCAGACGAGCCGCCCCGCCCCCGAGCCGCCCTGCACCCGAGCCGCCCGGCACCCAAGCCGCCCTGCCGCCGAGCCGCCTGGGAGCCGAGCCGCCCAGCAGCCGAGCCGCCGAGTCGCCAAGCCGCCCTCCTGCCGAGCCGCCCGACCTGCCCTGCCCGGTGAGCACCGTACCGCTGTCACTGCGTGCCCTTCCCCTACTGCTTGCACTGCTCCACTGTCGTCGTCATGGCTACCCCTAGTGTCCTCGCTTTTGACGCTGAGGGTCGAGCCATTGACTTTGAGGTCTGGGTCGACGACCTGCAGCTGTTCTTACAGTGCGATAAGGCGGACGGCCTTTCCCTCTTTGACCTCACCTCTGGCGCCTCTCCTGCCCCTGCTGCTGATGCTGACCCCACTGTTCGCTCTCAGTGGGCCACCCGCGATGCTGCTGCACGTCTTGCTGTGCGTCGCCACTTGCCCACCACTGAGCGCGCGCACTTTGGTCAGTACAAGAGTGCTCAGACCTTGTACGACGCTGTAGTTGCGCGCTACTCTTCCCCTGCCACTGCTGCAATGAGCCGTCTCATGCTACCGTACCTCTTTCCTGATCTCACTGCCTTTCCCACTGTCGCTGACCTCCTTACGCACCTCCGCACTAGTGACACTCGCTACCGCGCCGCCCTTCCTGCTGAGTTCTGCGCCAAGAACCCCCCCCCCATGTACATCACTCTCTACTACATAGTCACACGCCTCCCTGACTCCCTTCGCGTAGTCAGGGACCACTTCCTCTCAGTCTGTCCCACCACTCTCACTGTCGACCTCCTCGAGAAGGCCCTCCTAGCGGCGGAGAAGAGCATCGTCGCTGTCGGAGCCTCTCGTGGTGACCCTCGCACCCCCATCTTTGAGGGGTGTTCTCCTTCCCCCCTACTGCCCTCTGTTGCCTCTGCTGCTGCTGCCGACCTGCTTGGTCTTGAGTCGGTCGGCGCGGCGTCTGCCCCTAGCGTGAGACGCCGCCCTGGCAAGGGCAAGGGGGGCAAGGGCGCGGGTGGAACTGGAGGGGGCGGTGGAGGTGGCGGTGGAGGCGGCGGAGGGAGTAGGGGTGGCGGTGGGAGTAGTGGCGGAGGCGGTGGTGGTGGTGGCAGCGGCGGACGAGGCGGCGGTGGCGGCGGCAGCGGTGGGAGTGGAGGCGGCGGTGGTGGCGGAGGTGGAGGCGGCGGTGGCGGAGGGGGTGGAGCTGGTCGGGGTGGTGCCCCGCAGCGGAGCGGCTCTGGTAGTGGTCAGCGCCAGTAGCAGCAGCAGCAGCGTTCGCGGGACATCCCCCCGCCCCAGCAGCTCCGTGAGTGGTACACGCAGCGTCAGAGGGGTGGGGGTACTGGTCCGTGCGCCTACGTCCTTCGTTCCGGCGACCGCGCGGGTGAGCAGTGTGGGGGTGCCCACCCCACCCAGCGCTGCTTTGGCCGCCTGACGGACGCTTGGCGTCAGCAGTTCCCAGAGGCTAGTGAGATTCCCCGCTGGGGAGAGCTGTCTAGGGCTGGTGTAGCTATCTTTGATCTTGACTTTGATGCTATCCTTGCTGCCATGTATGCTGTGACTATTAGTGAGGAGGGTGACTGTTACCGGTGTTTCCCGCCCGACCCGGGCATTGGTACTGCTGCGTTAGGTGCTTGTGAGGCTGCTGCTCTAGGTGCCAATGCGTCTGCGCTCTCAGGTACTGGTGAGGCTGCGCTCCCAGGTACTGCGTCGGCTTCGGCCTCCTTCACTTTCACACTTGACTCAGGGGCTTCTCGCTCCTTCTTTTGAGACCGCACCACACTCACGCCGCTTGGTCGGCCGGTTGCAGTCTCCCTGGCTGACCCCTCTGGGGGTCCTGTCCTCTCTCATTTCTCCACTGTCCTCCCGTGTCCGGCTGCCCCCTCGGGCACCCTGTCTGGTCTGTACCTCCCCTCGTTCTCTACGAACTTGGTGAGTGGTGCTGACCTGCAGGATGCGGGGGTTCACCAGTTTACTCCTGCGAGTCAACGGGTGACCCACTGCACGGACGCACGCACAGGCCGACACCTGGCCACGTTCTCGCGTCGGCCAGGGTCGAGCCTCTACACCCTGACCACTGAGTCTCCTCCTGTCCCTGCGTCTGGCCAGGTAGCTGCGTCGGGTCAGGTGTTTGCTGCTGCGTCCCGGTCTGCTCCTGAGTCTGCCCCCTGTTCGTGTCGCCTCCTGTCTCACGAGACTCTCCTGTGGTCTCCCCCGGTCTCTCCCTCCCCTTCCTTCGGGACCAGGACCTTCTTGTGTCCCCTGTGTCGAGGGGCGCCTCCGGGCTGCTCCTCACTCCTCCCAGTTTCCCCCGACAGAGGCTCCTCTGCAGACACTTCACATGGACGTGTGGGGCCCGGCCCGCGTCCGTGGGCAGGGTCACGAGCGCTACTTCCTGCTGGTGGTTGACGACTACTCGCGTTACACCACAGTCTTCCCCTTGCGCAGCAAGGGTGATGTCACTGAGGTGCTGATCGACTGGATCCGCGCAGCTCGTCTCCAGCTCAGGAGGAGCTTCGGCTCGGACTTTCCTGTTCTGCGTCTGCACTCTGACCGAGGTGGGGAGTTCTCCTCTGGCCTTCTGCGGGCCTACTGTCATGCACGGGGGATCCGCCAGACCTTTACGCTTCCGGACTCTCCACAGCAAAATGGGATTGCTGAGCGCCGCATTGGCATGGTCATGGACGTCGCTCGTACGTCCATGATGCATGCGGCTGCCCCCCATTTTCTGTGGCCGTTTGCGGTTCGGTACGCGGCGCATCAGCTCAACCTTCACCCCAGGGTCTCCCGGCCGGAGACCTCCCCAGCTCTGCTGTGGACGGGGAAGGTCGGCGATGCGTCTGCGTTCCGTGTCTGGGGATCTCGGGCGTTTGTCCGCGACTTGTCTGCGGACAAGCTGTCCCCTCGTGCTGCTCCCTGTGTCTTCCTGGGCTTCCCCCCTGACGCCCCAGGGTGGCAGTTCTACCACCCCTCCTCTCGTCGTGTTCTGTCCTCCCAGGACGTCACGTTCGACGAGTCGGTCCCCTTCTACCGTCTCTTCCCCTACCGCACTCCTTCCCTTCCCCCACCGCCACACTTCCTTGTGCCAGGTCCCCCCCCGGTAGACCCCCTTCCCCCTCAGGATCCTGCCCCTTCTGGTGTGTCCCAGGTTGACGCAGTCGAGCCGGTCGAGGTTGCTGGTGACTCAGGTACTGCTGCGGGTGCTGAGCCTGGGGGTGCTGACTCTGGGGGTGCCGTGCGCGTGGGTGCTGCGCCTGGGGGTGCTGAGACTGGGGGTGCTACGCCTGGGGGTGCTGAGCCTAGGGGTACTGCGACTGGGGGTGCTGAGCCTAGGGCTGCTGAGTCTGGGGGTACTACGTCGGGAGCTGCTGAGCCTGGGAGTGCTGCGTCTGGAGCTGCTGAGCCCTGGGGTGCTGAGTCTGGGGGTGCTACGTCAGGAGATGCTGAGCCTGGAGGTGCTGCGTCTGGGGCTGCTGGGCCTGGAGGTGCGGAGCCTGCGGCCGCTGGACCTCCCCTTGTGGCGTCTGGCGGTGCTGGGCCTGGAGGTTCTCTGGGTGCTCCGTCTCGGCGGGAGCCACTCTCTCCACAGGAGCTGCGCGAGTGGTTTGCTCGCCGCTGGAGGCGTGCTGCTGGAGCTGGAGCTTCTTCGGCCGCTGAGGGTGCTGGTGCCGCCGGTCCCGGAGCTGTTGGGCCTGCAGGTCCTACTGGAGCTGGCGCTGCTGAGGGTGCTGGTGCTGAGACTGCTGCTGTCTGTCCTCACGGTGGTCCTGCTGCTGGTGCTACTGGAGGTCCTGCCGCTGGAGGTGCTGTTGGCGCTGGTGCTGTCGGAGGTGCTGAGGGTGCTGGTGCTGTCCCTGCTGTGTCTGGAGTCGCCGCGCGGCCTCGGCCGTACTTCGTTCCACTCCTGCAGCAGGTTCTTGGTCTTTCTCCTCCTGTAGAGTGTCCACCGCCTGTCCAGTCACCGTCACAG